ACTTCTCACATCAAGTACTGAATACTCACTTCTCACATCAAGTACTGAATACTCACTTCTCACATCAAGTACTGAATACTCACTTCTCACATCAAGTACTGGATAAATTTCACTTGCTTTCTGGCCAGGGACAGGGATGGTTGTTCTGTGCTTGTAACTTCTAATTCGGACTAGGACATGTAGTTATGTGAGGGAGTCATTGCGCTGCCTAGAGTGAAATGCTCACAGCTAAAGGGATTTGAAAACAGCAACAAGTTCTAATTCTAAAGTTCAGTACTACTAACTACCTAATGCTACCAATATATAACACTAGTAGCAACACTTCAAATCTTGGGCACTTATGATATGACCTATTTGTGATGCAAGTACCTTAAAACTGTTACTAACCGTCAATATGATGTTGTCTGTGTGTGTGTGTGCAGAGATCTGGACCAGGCCAGTATGGAAGCAGTGGCCGCACTACTGGCCGGCCTGCCCCTACAGCCCGAGGAGAGTGACCGGGGGGACCTCATGGAAGCCAAGTCGCAGCTCTTTCTCAAGTACGTCGGATTTCCTCCTGCTTGTAAACTTGTCGTTGTTGTGGTTGTTGTTGATGATGATCCAGCTTGTGAACTTTTTGTTGTTGTTATTGTTGTTGTTTTTGTTAACGACCTAGCTTGTTAACTGGTTGTTTTAGTTGTTGTTGTTATAGATCCCCCTTGTAAACTTAAAAGTCTAAGATATGTCCACTGTTTGGTGTAAGACTTCGTCATAAGGTGGATGGTTGGCGGGTGCTCTGGTGTGGTTTGCTTCTTCTTTACTTTCAAACATCTATTGTCATTATCTCTACTCCTTCTTTTTTGTGTTTGTTACTCTCTTGTAACACCTCTAGTCTTCCGCACTTACATGACCTTATTGTGTTGCAAGTGCTGCAAAACTCTTACTAAAACTAAAACTAAAAACACTCTCTCACACCTGTTCTCTGAGGTCAATAGAATGTTCTAGATTAGTACACGTCGTGCACTTGAAAAAATACAGAACTTTTGACAGGAAAGTGACTGCAATCTCGGTGTCTGTCTGTTTGTCCAGGTATCTGACGCTGTTCATGAATCTCCTCAACGACTGCTCTGACGAGGAGCAGGACAAAGCACTGGATCCGAACCGCAAACGCTCCATGAGTAACTTGAGTGCTCTGAGGAACTGCACCGTGCAAGCCATGTCCAACCTGTTGAATGCCAACATCGACAGTGGTCTCATGCATTCCATAGGTGAGTGTCTCGTTCTTGTGTCTTATGTGTTGTGTCTTGTGTCATGTCCAGACAGATTTGTGTGGGTGGTTCGCGGGTGCTCTGGTGTGGTTTGCTCCTTCTTTCCTATCAAACATCTATCGTCCTTATCTCCCTTCTTCTTTTTTATGTTTGTTACTCTCATGTAACACCTCTAATCTTCTGGCGCTCATATGACCTTATGCAGTTGCGAGCGCCGTAAAACCTCTACTAAAACCAAGGCAGATTTGTTAGAGCTAACCCAGGCGTTACAACTGTCCCCACTTTCACAGGAGTGGGTTGGCGGTTGCTCTAGTGTGGTCTACTCTCATTCTTTCCTATCAA